TCTGCGCTCCTGTCACGCATGTCAGAAGCACATAGGACCGTTGCTGACGGCAGCACTTTCCCCACTCCCAACCACCGCACAGTGCAGAAGCCGAGGGGCTGCGGGCTCTTTCTCCTGCCCCCTCCCAGCCCTTGCATGCGGGTGAGCAAGCTGACGTTTCTGGGGGACCTGGGACAGGGTGGGGACTGAGCCAGGGCCTCACACAGACAAGGCCAGTGCTCTACCATGGAGCCCCCACGCAGGCTACAGGAAGGGCCGGAAACAGCTGCCGGGTTCTCTGGGATGGACCAAACAAAGGACTGAGCTGACTCCTGAAGACAAAGCTCGCCCAACACCCGTGCTACTCTCTTGTCTGCGACACCCAAGACAGTCACAACTGTATCTTGTTCATCCATGTGCAGGACTTAAATATTTCTGAAAACTGGATTTGTTCCCACATACCACAGCCACTGTCATCACACCAGAGTCGGGCACTGGGCCGTGTGTGACAGCTGGAGAGGGAGGACGCAAAGGGCCTGTCTGATGCCCCGTGCGGCAGGAGTCTGAGCCCCTAATGGTCACCATTAGAGAACCAGACTGAAAGCCAGCAGGCTGTGGTAACGCCACGCCCTTTACGGGCATGGAGCTGACACAGAGAGCCGTGGTTTTCACAGAACTCTGCATTTATAGCTTAGTGCTCTCACTTCTGGGCGGTACGATACTTCTGAGAAAACCAGCACTGTAACATAGGACTCGTGACAAGTCCCTGCAATGCTGAAGAATGGGGGCTCCGAGCCTGGAGCAATGGGGCTGCGGGGAGGGAGTTTGCCTTGCACATGGCTGACCTGGGTTTGATTCCCAGAATCCCAAGCCAGTAATAACCCCTAAAACAAAAGGGTCTCAACATGCCCTGTGGTGAGTGAGGGGCAGAGGCTGTGTTAAAAAGCAGGTTGGGGGTGCCAGAGTGACAGCACTGCAGGATGGTGCTTGCCTTGCAACTGAGCTGGGTCCCATCTCCCGCGCCCTGTATGGTCTCCCAAACACCACAGGAGTGACCCCTGAGTGCCGAGCCAGGAGTAAGCCGGGGGTGACCCCAAACAAACAAAAGCAGCAGGTTGGGAAGCTGGTGGGGGGAGATGGACACTGCACATAGGAGGCCCTAATCTTAGGTCCCTGGACAGCACCAGGAGCAACCCCTGAGCAGAGTCAGGTGAGCCCCCCCCCCCCCCCAGCACTAGAGGGTGCACCCAAAATCAAAACAAAAACAACACAAAATGAAACAGGCTGGGAAGGAAATGCGAGGAGCAAACAAAAATGGACTGGACGCAGGTGTCCCCCAGGCTAGAGCCCCCCTAGCCTTCTACAGGGCTCTGTAACCCCATGCACCCTCGGGGGATAACCAGTGCACTCCTGCTCAGGCTCATGGGGAATCTCCTAGAACAGCGCCTCCAAGCCTCTTTCCAGCAACCACAAGTACAGACAATTCGGACAGACGCGTCACGGGGGTCTGTTTCATGGTAACAGTCCGAACCACCACCCCGTCCCCCGCTAGCACACTGGGGTGTTAGTGACGTATTCATGGACCCGGGCTGGGCCACTGGACACTGCCTGTCTGTGGCGGCGGGCACTGCCAGGGTGTTAATCTCCTGGAGGCCTCTCGTCCTGCTCTTTTTCAAGTCGTCGATTGCCTCGAGCAGGCCCCAGTAGTACCTGATTTATTTTTCTCTAAGAATAAAAACTAGTAAGATTTCCTTTTTTGTTGTTGTTGTTGGAAAGAAGAACTTGAACTTTTGTTGTTGTTCGCTTTTGTTTTGGAGCCATGCCCAAGTGCCCTACCTGCTGTGCCATCACTCTGTCCCCCAGAATTTGAAGCTTGGTACCCCTTCACAAATAAAACACAAATACCTGACGTATCATCTTTCGTTCAAAGTTTGAGACTCTGTCTTAAATTCTCACACCCTAATTCAGCTGGTGGATAACAGGCACAAAAGCCTGAGAGAAATTCATCTGCTAACAAAAGAGGTGATTTTAAAGATGACATAAGAGGGGTAAGAGAGAGACAGCAAGGAGGGTGCTTAACCTGCACGCGGCCAACCCAGGTTCAATCCCTGACACCCCATAAGGTCCCTGAGCCTCACCAGGAGATTCCTGAGTACAGAGCCAGGAGTAACCCCTGAGTACTGCTGGGTGTGGCCCAACCCCCTCCGCCACATAAATAAGAAACAAAGCACTCAGAGACATGAACCCAGAATAGATTCAGCCTCTTCTGAAAGCAGGGAGAGCAGTACAGCACTGGTGTGACTCAGCTGTCCCATCCCCAGCAGACTCCACTCAGACCCTTGTGTGGAAGCACTGATGGGTGTTCTGGGTCCGCAGGGACCCTTGTGTGGAAGCACTGATGGGTGTTCTGGGTCCGCAGGGCTGCCGCCACAGACAGGTCTAGGCCACCGACCCCCTTACGCCATCGGGACAGATCAGTCACCTAACTGCTGTGACTGTGGATGGAAGAGGACTCCTGTCCCTGACAAAGTCCCATTCCCTAAATAGTCTAGTGCAGATGGGACCCTCTCCCGTCCCTAAACATAAAACTCCAGTTCACCCATCTTATCTATCCACTTTAATTCAACTTCTAGTTTTATTCCAGCTGCCAACACATATTCAAAGTCAATGCAGATATACCAGGAAAAGGTCCACTGGAACTTACTGTAGGTGGCTATGACTGGACTTTTTGCAGTGAAATTTGAGTCATGTTTGAGTAATGAGACAAACAGAAGTTAAAATGCAGAGCCAGCACAACAATCAGCCATTAATAAGTAGCTTTAAAAAAGTCAGTCAGGGGCACAGTGGGGAGGGCGTTTGTCTTGTACACGGCCGACCTGAGTTCGATTCCCAGCATCCCATATGGTCCCCTGAGCATCGCCAGGAGTAATTCCTGAGTGCAGAGCCAGGAGTAACCCCTGAGCATTGCCGGGTGTGACCCAAAAAGAAAAAAAAAGTCAGTCAAAAAAAAAAGAAAATCTATTCACCTTCACAAACGACAGTCTGGAAAGAATGATTTTTATGTTTGCAAGGAGTTTAAGAGATGCCTCTGCTTGCTTTAGAAAAGGAGAGTTTTCTTCTCGATTAAATGTTTATTACAGAAAACAGAAACCAAAGAAACACAAATCAGTTATGACCCAAGTCTCTGAAAACAAAACACCGACAGCACTGCTCCCTCACGGGACGCCCCAGCTGCGAATCAGGCACAGGATCCCGCTAGAATCAGGCTGGCTGCTAGCAGCAAACATTCTGAGGCGCAGGTGGGCGTCTGGGGACATCAGGAGACAGCAGGAGGGAAAAAAGAACGACAACCTCCTCCAGTCCAGTTGTTGGGACCCCGAGCTCACCGGCTGTGGGTGACTTGGCATCCCGTGACAGCCTGGCGGGGGTCTGGCTGCACAGGGAAGAGTGGCCCCTCCCCTCCCCTCCCATGATGGGGCTCAGTTACAAGCCACTTCGCCTCTGCACCAAAGTGAAACCCACCTGTATTTCTGTAAGTACGACTCCTTCCTCTTCTGGACTCAGGAATGACACGGTTAAAACCCCTCGACCACAAAATACGGACCCCCAATTATGTGAGGACAACTAAGGACACATTTATGTTCCTGCTCAAATATCCCTGAATTTTAAACAGCCGAGGTGGAACTGTGGAGATGAGTGTCCACACCAGGCTAGATGCAAGCAGGATCTGCCTCAGTCCTTTCTTGCTCCCTGGTAAAGGGGCAGGAAAAGACACAGGGGCTGACCTCTACGGGCACTGAATTCAGCAGACACAGCGAGTCTTCATTAATAAAGCTGGAGGCTCGCTGTGCATTAGCAACTACTCAGGGCTGACCTTGTTCTACACACAAGCAAAGGTCCCTGTCTTTTCCTGCCAATAATCTGAGAAAATGGCACAGACTCTAAAAGGTATTTCTTAAAAGCATCAACACTATTAGATTGACATTGGTACTGCTGTAAATGCAGTCTGCCAATTAGGTAATAAGGATGTTGTAATGAATTTCTCCAACGAATAACAGATGAAACAGTCAAGAATCCAGATGAACACTCCATACAGGCAGGGAAATGAGTTTTTAAAAGCGTTAATAAGCCCTCCTACCCCAATTTCCTAGAAACCTGTCTGATGTACAGTACAACTATAAAATTTTGACATGCACAAGTAATTGTCGTGGACTTTAGATTTTATTTGCATCTCAAAGAAATTTATTAATTGTGGATGATGCAGAGTAATAAAAACTACCTCATGATTGTTCAGTAGTGTTTCTGCAAGCCGAAGGATCTCGCCTAAGATCAACGTTTAGCCAACGGAGATGTGCTCAGCCCAAGACGTGGTGAAAATCACTCTCGATGTTCGCATCGTTCCCCTTCCTAAATCCACTCTGACAGGGAAAATTCTTGATGATGCAAAACAAAGGGCAACCGTTCAACGACACAACCCAAGCTTTTGAAAACAAATTTCGGGTTTCTCATCCCCGCCACGACCGCGCCGACCGCGTCAACGCTCGCTTGCTCGCTCCCTGGCCCCGGCTGGCTCGGGGCAATGCGCAGGACGCGAAGCCCGACAGCCCGGCAGGCTGCAGTTCCCAGAAGGATGCTCTGCAGCCCAGACCGCAGCGCGCGGCCGCCCCCGGGCCCCTGGCCGTCCCGCCCGCGACAGCCCCGAGCTGACCGGGCCGGGCGCCGGCAATGCGGCTCGGCCGGGCGCCCGAGTTGGAGCCGCTTTCGGGCGGCGGGAGCGGCGGGGCGGGCGAGCCCGGGCTCCGCAGCCCCCGCAGCGCCGGCGCGGGGTCGGGGCGGGCGCGGTCCGAGGCGGGCGGCGCTCGCAGAAAGGCCCGGGGACGACGCGCGGCGCGGGGGTCCCGGGGCGGGCGCGCCCACCTCACCTCCGACGACGCCGGCCGCGCCCCGTAATGCGGCGCGTCCCCCCGCGAGGCCGCGGCGGGTCCCCGGCCCCGCCGCGACAGGTGCCTCGGCGGCCTCACCTGCGGGCGCGGCGCGCGGCTCCAGGCGGCGGCGGCGGCGGCGGCGGCGGGCGGCGGCGCGGCGGGCGGCGGCGGGCCAGGGGCGGGGCGGGGCGGCGGGTCCGGCCCTGCCCGGCCGCCCGCCGCGGGAGGTCAGTCGGGCCGTCAGTCAGGCCGTGGGCGCCGCCCGCCCCGCGCAGCCCCGGCGCCCCCACCCGCGCGCCCGCGCGGTGCACGCCGGGAGCGGCGGCGGGCGGAGGGGCGGCGGCGGCGGCGGGCCGGGGTCTCGGCGCGGTACTCACGTGGCGGCGCCCCCGCCCCCGGCGGTGGCGGGGCCGGAGCCGGGGCGCGGGGCCGGGGGAAAGGGCGGCTCGGCCGGCGGGACGCGGCGGCGCCGGCTCAGGTGCGCCCGCACTGCGGTTGCCCCGGTAACGCGGCGGGCGGGGCGGGGCGGGCGCGGGGGCGCGCGCCGGGCGCGGGGACCCGGCGGGCTGGGCCGGCCGGGCGCGCGGCGCGCATGCGTGCGGCCCCCGCTTCCCCGGGGCGGCCGGCCGGGCGGTGCGCACGCGCGCTGGCCCCCGGAGGCGTCTGGGTGTGCGGAGCGCGCGCGCGCGCGGCTCGGAGCGCACCTGTGAGGCGGCCCCCGAGGAGCGGGCGGCGCGGCGCGCGGAGCCCGCGGCCTGGGGCGCTTCCAGCGCGCACTTGGAGTGAGTTCGCGGCCGGCGGCCGGCGGCCGGCTCCGTCCCGGGGCTTCCAGCGGGCGCCGCGGCCGAGCGGGGGGCGGGCGGCGGGGCGCCGCGGCGCTGAGGCGCTGAGGGGGCGAGGCGCCGAGGGGCTGAGGCGCCGAGGCGCGGAGCGACGGCGAAGGACGACCCGTCAGTCGGGCCGGGCCTCGAGCGCGGCCGGCGCCGGCCGCCCCGGGGAGGAAGGTCAGAGGCGCTGCCCGCCGCGGCCGGCCCCCCACGCAGGCCCCGGCCGGACGCCTGGCGCCGGGCCCGGGGCGCGGTGGGGGCGGGGGCCCATGGCGGCCGGCGGCGGGCGCGGGCCCCGCGGGAGCCGGACTCCCGGGCCGCGCTCCATTGTTGTCGGCGCGGGCCGGCCGGGGGAGCCGGCGGCCGCGCCTTGGAGCCGGTCCAGGCGGGTCCCGGGAGAGGCGGTAATGGCCGCGCCGGGGGAGCGGCGCGGGGTCGGGGCGCGCGGCGGCTGCAGGCGTGCCGTTGTGTGTTGCAGAGCCGGGCGGGAAGCGCGCGCGCGGGGCATGAGGGACCCCCGGCGCCCCCCGCGTGCGACGCCGCCGCCGCCGGACGCCTCCATTGTCTGACCCGGGCCGGAGCCTCGCGCAGGTAACCGGCCGCGGCGCCGCCCCCCGCGCGCGCGCCCGCCGCGCCCCCCGTCCCCGCCCGGATGAACGCCCGCCGCGCTCCTGCCGCCCCCCCGCCCCCGGCTCCGCTCCTTTCCCCCCCGCAAAACTCGGCCCCTTTGTGACCGGGGCCCGCGTGGAGGAGCCCGGCCCGTGCGCGCCTCGCGGGTACTTGGCTGACCAGGTATTTTTCTCCCCGGGGCCCAGCCGGCGCGGCGGTCAGGGCCGTGGGAGGACCCGGGCGCGTCTTGTCCCCCCGCGCCGTTGCAGTGGCCCGAGTCCCTCCGCGCGATCCCCGCTCTCGTGCAGAGCCGCACGCACCTTGTCCCACCCACAGGTCCATGCCAGCAGCTAAGGTAGAAGTTAGATGAGGAAAGTGGCCCGTTTTTTTCCGTGTCCAACGGAAAGCGTGGTCCCGGTGGCTCAGGTGCGACCACAGAGCAGCTGCCAGGCGCCTGGCGCCTTTAAGGTACTTCAGAGTTCACGCGTGGGCAGGGTGGCGTCGTTCCGCGAGTACCTGTGAGGCGGGGAAACGGGGACTGGCCCTTAGAGCCCGGCTGCGTGCTTGGGCATTCGAGGTCCCCTCGGACCCTGAACCCCAGATGTGAGCGAGTGGTTCTCCTGGACAGCAGCGCAGACGCTCAGTCGCGGAGGTGGGCGTTGAGGATGGGGGTTCTCCGGGACCAGAAAAGGTACCCTGGGGAGGCGTCCCCCCCTCCCCTCCTGCCCTGACTCCTCGGGCCTGCGACCCTGCTGGACACTTCATCACTAAGCGGCAGGGTTCTTTTCTATAAAAGGTGATAATTCTCGCTCTGCTTACGCGAGTTCAGCGGTATGTGTGAGAGTGCTTTGGACACCATATTGTAGCTTCGCTAGGCCTCATGATCAACGAGGATTTTTTTTTTGAATTGGCGATATAATTTATATATTCTCTTGGGCCAGGTACTTATATTACAGATCATGAGACTGGTGACTGTCAGTTTTGGGTGCTTCTCTAACTTGTAGTTTTGTTATGATGACTTTTGTCAAGTAATGTTGATATATTAGCCTTCTTAAAAGAGTATTTTCCAAATATATTTTCCCTAGTGCTTCACATGCCTGATTTAAGTTGAATAAAGTATCAGGAAAACTGACACTCTGTAAAACAAAACTATCTCAGTGTTACCTAGTGATGTATATTTATATATGGATTTGTGTGTGGTTTTTTCCCCCCCCCCCAGTGGCAATAGCAGACTAGGTTAGTTCTGCCCTTCAGGTAAAATGGAAGTTTCATTTAAGTACTAAGTGTTGAGGTATTACCATTTTAATATATGAGACTCAATTAGGACTTTTGAAACTTTTTTCCCCCATTCAGGAATGATTGAATGTTTATAGTGTGGTCAGCAAATTAAGCCTTGTCTCTGGTCTTTCTGAGTTTATAAGCCGCTCTTTGTTGTTGTTGTTGTTGTTTGCTTTGGGAGCACACCTGGTGGTACTCAGGACTTATTCCTGGCTTTGCACTCAGGAATCACTCTGGTGGTGTTCAGGGTGGGCCAAGGATTAAACCCAAGAAGGCCATGTGCAAGGCAGCCTCCCTACCTGCACTGTACTATTGTTCTGACCCCTGTCTTTGTCTTTTTGAGTTTATAATCTGTGGCAGTCATCAGAAACTAACTATTGCCCCACAACAACACGTGTAATCACAAACTTGGATTTCTGCAATGAAAGTTAAGCCCCGATATAGAGTGTAAAAAGGGGAACATACTTTAGATTGGGGAAAGACATTTTGCAAAAATAAGATTTGAGCTGAGTGAGTGGGTGTTAGTATAGAATGAAGTGGGGGATAATTTTCCACCCTGGGGAGAGGCTGTGGGAAGGCCCTGAAGGGGGAAAAGCTTGGCCAGTCCTGGAACTGAAAGTGTGGCTGGGAATAGATTGGAGTAGGTGGAGAGAAGTGTGGCCAGGCAGGGGGCCAGGTCATGTCTGGTCTTGTAGGGCAGGTTAAGAATGTTTTATTTCATCTTGCGTGAAATGGGAAACCATTACAGGGGTTAGGTTTTAAGCAGGGGGTGACATAATAAGGTTTGCATTTAAAACAACCTCTCCAGCTGCTGCATGCAGAGATGTGGGGGTGTTGCGGGGTGGAGAGTTGAAGTGGGGGAGACTGCATATACCATTTCACAGTTCTCTCTAGAAGCAAGAGCTCTTTCCTTTGGAGAGCCCATTGAATTGGGCTACCAACTAAACAGGTAAAAATTTAAAGGGTGCTTCTTTTGCAGAAAAAAAATACAAATGTTAAACTTACTCTACATTAATCTTATGGGAAAACATCAAAATTAAAGAATTGGAATATTCTATAACATGGTTTTTACAGATTTTTCTGAGGAGTAATAAAGAGTGACCTGAGGATCTAACATAAAGAGAAGGGAAGTACATGCATGTTGTGGACTACAAGAATGAGAAGAACAGCAAAAGCCATTCCACCTAGAGCATTTAAGGGCACTCTGCATTTATACAATTAATAGCTTTCTGAATACCAAATAGCAGAAACTAAAATGCAGGAGAAACAAGACCCAAACCCAGCCAAATTCTCTGATCACAAAACACAACCGTGTAACCATAACCTGATTGAGAGGTCAGGGAGAAGGCTCAGAAGACTGGAGTTATATACTTTGCATGCAGCACTCCCAGTTGTGGTGCTTACCCCTCACCCCTCACCCTCACGATTGAGATAGGGCTCTTCATGGAGACCATGAAATCACCAGGAAGTCTGGCTGTATATCTGAATGCAATTTTAAACACTATGGGGAAATGTCTGTTTTGGGGATGAACTGGATGAAATAATTATGGGTAGTGAACTGGGTCACGTTAATATTTTGTAGAGTCACATTCCTTTAAAAAGTACTGACACTGAAGAGTCACAAAAGTACTGACATTTATAGAGTCCCATTGACTTAAAAAGTACTGACATTGAAGTCTGCACCATACTGACATTGGAGTCTGCACCTCACTGAGTCCTTTTCAGCACCCAAATACAAATGACGTGGGAATGTGATAAGTAATGAGTATCCCAAATCCTAAGAACATACGGAGAGAAATAAGGCTCATCTGGGAGAAGAAGCCACTGTAGTTGAGACAGTTGAGCAAGGTCTCCACACTCAAACATACCTGGACTGGAACTTTTTAAATGAGGAAAAAATACCCATTGAGCAGGTGTTACATGGGAAAGAAAGTCCCAGCACCTCTGTGGCACTCAAATCTATTCTAGCACAGTGGGTAGGGCGTTTGCCTTGCATGTGGCCGACCCAGGTTTGATTCCTCTGTCCCTCTTAAAGAGCCCAGCAAGCTACTGAGCGTATCCCCCCCGCCCCCACAGGGCAAGGCCTGGCAACACCCTGTGGCGTATTTGATATGCCAAAAACAGTAACAACAAGCCTCACAATGGAGATGTTAGTGGTGCCCATTCGAGCAAATTGATGAACAATGGGAGGACAGTACTACTTAAAAATATACAAGATGTTTAAGGAAAAAGGGAAAATAAGACCCAGTGGCTAAAACTGAAAGGGAGGAGAATCTTTGTCACAAGTACAAGTAAAGAGTTATCACGTTCAGCATTTAAAGACCTTCCAGGTCAGTGAGGAAGATAAACTCCACCAACAGCTGGATATGCATCAACCCATTGACTAGAAATAGAATTTCTTAAACATTTAGAACAATGTATAATCTCACTGATACATAATAGTAAT